TGAGTATAAGGTACGCAACCCTCGTCGACACACTCCCGATCTTTACAACGTTGTTAACGAGAGACTTGTGGACGATAAATCCGACACCTCCTTGGGACGGATGGTCGCCCTCCCGGTGATAGAGCAAGTTGCCGGATTCGAGGATTACCGTGTCCTCCCCCTCTCTTCGGACTTCGGATAATCCTATAATATGCCAGCGCAACTTGTCTGTCTCTTCTTCCAGCTCCACGATCTTCTCGTCAGTCCTCAGGGTGCGTGCGTTGTACGTTGCCAGGTCGAGTCGTCTAAGGTGGCAACCGAACCTCCACCGGAGATTCTTAGCACCCCCTGCCCCGCCGTTACCATGGTCGCCACCGTAGCCAGGAATAGCGGGGCCGCCGGGGACTGGGGGCCGTTTCTTTGTTACTGTCATTCATAGGGGGGTATTTGCCATAGTTGCCACGCTTGGCGAGCGGGTTGGCAACCGCAGTTTTTTTATTGTAATTTGGCTACTATCAGGAAGATGCTGCTGCCCATCTCCTGCCTGTTTCCCTTTGTCGCCTTTTACGACACCCACGGGAGGATATGGGGTAGTGGATATTCTTGACCGCCACTACACGGCAAAATTTTCAATTGGCAATTGTTTCATCATAAATATCTACTGTTCTATCCGTACGGTTTGCGGCGGTTGAGGCGCGGGTACACGATTCATTTATCCAATGGCTGCGGTGTGAGGCTCGTGGTTTTATTCTGTGTGTACTCTGTTACCGGTGTTTTCGCGTAAGTATTCAGATATTTGCATATAGTTTTATATTATTGAAGTAGCTCTAGTGTAAGATATATCGAATGTGCTTTTCTTTGTACATAATAAACTTTCATTTCTAAAAAAAATGTCACTAAAGTTAAATTTACCATTCTGTTACTGCACAACTATGTTACTAGCTACTGGTAACAGAGTTGTAGAGAGGTAACAGAGTTGTTATTACTAAGCTGTTACAAGCCATCGTTGGCGTCTGTATATCCGTATCTCTGCTTCTATGTTAGTAGGAATCAATATTATATAATAGCTATCTAATAAATTACATCATTTGTTCTAGATAATACATAGTACTTCGCTATGGCTCTCACCGCTGCTGAAAAGCAGCGGCGCTATAAAGAAAAGTGCAAATAAAACCCTGAAGAGGTAGCGGAAACTAAGAAGAAGGATTTAGAGAGATATCATAAAAAGAAACGCTTAATAAAAGACATGACTCAACTCAGTATAGAAACTACAGATCTTGTATAGATGGATTGACAGAAGAAAAAATAGCGCTACACGTAGACTTCAGCGAAAATTACAATTGCAAGTTCCATGAAGTGATACAATCACACCACTTTCGTGATACTCGTAACCAGGTATCCTTACATACTGGCGTATTGTATAAGCGAAGCTTGGAAAATCGAAACATAGAGGTGAAGTCTTTTTGTACAGTATCAGGTAACCTCTCTCACGGCCCTTCGGCAATCTGGAGTCACCTTCATCCTATACTTTCCTCAATTCAAGACCAATCCCCTAAAATAAAAGTGATACACATATTTTCAGATGACCCGCTACTCAGTACCGCCATAATCAAAACTTCTGCTTAATATGGACAAAACTTTTCTCAAAGTACAACCTCACCAAGCCTACATGAAATTTTTTCGAGTCGGGACACGGCAAAGGAGCAGCTGTTGGTGTTGGTGGCTTTCTAAAACGGACTGCTGACCAGCTTGTTGCTGTTGGGAAAGACATTCTGATAGCGTCTTCGTTCTATCAGTCTCTGAAAGATAGTAGTAGAGTTAAGGTCAATCTTGAACTGATTATGATATTGAAAGAATCGCGAATGAAATTCCAGCAGAAATTGTTCCTTTCTATGATATAATGAAAGTACATCAAGTGTACTACTAGTGTATTACAGAAGAAGTGGGAGCGCTGAAATATCGAGAGTTGAGCTGTTTCTGCTAGCTTGGTTTCTCCTCATGAATGAATCCAAAAAACTATTGTCCACTAAAGGATACAGTCGAAGAATCAAAGGAGTAATTCTACTAATCTAGCGGATATAAGTAATTTGATTGAACAGAAAAGGAAATCTTTTTACAATGTAATTTACAGTTCGAGTTCGGAATCAGATGATGATAATCCTGTGCTACGATTAAAAGATAAGGCATCAGATCAACCCTGCTTGTCTAAAGAAAAAAATGATGAGAATCACTTGATTCATAAAGAAAATATTCATCCAAGTAAAATCAAAGAAGGAGTCTAGGTCTTAGTTAAAGTTTACAATTCTGAAAGTAAGTGTTTATCTAGGCAAAGCATTAAGCGAAGTAGACGATGATGGTGAAGTAAAATTTGTCTTTTTAAATTCTGTTGACGATACTAGAAAAACATACAAATTAGTTTAAAATGATATATCATATGAACAATATGAGAGTTTCATAAGAGTTGTTTCAGTACCTAAAAAGTAAATAAAGGCAAAAGGGTATATTACCAGTTCCATACTCCACTAGAGATATTTGAAAAATAAGTTATCAGCTTAGGTTTAATTTGATCTCAATAAGATTTTTTAGCTTTTTCCCCTTAAGTTTTATAATCTAATTAAGTTTCTAAACTTCTTAAAACAATTCATAGCCAAAAATATTGTTTTTGTGATAGTTGTTCATAAATTTGTTGCGAATAGTACAACTATGTTATTGTTCCTACAAGTTTGTTACTTTTGTGTCCCTAAATATATAAGAGTAATGTCTCGAATTTTATGAAAAGCTGACACCTGACTCTATGCATTGTTTATTAATTATTTAATATTCTCATTTATACACAACATCATCATTATATTTTAATAATTTAATTCAATTTACATAGTTTATAGTGAAAATTTGATCATTAAAACAAAGGAAGTAACAGAGTATATTTAACTTCCATTACTGTTCCTACTTAAGAAGAAGTATTGTGTAATTTTGCATGTTGAACATGAGAGTAAAGACTTAATTAATGTTCATAACAAAGAATGTTTCTAAAAATAATTGTTTGTTGTTTAAATATGAATAAATATATGATGGTAACAGAGTTGTAATTTTTTTTACCCTGCACTAGTAAATTCCTTGAAAATCTAAAAATAGTGGCAAGACATCGCGCCCAAACACGATATTGCATTTAACAATAATATCTACATAGCATAAATACCTATACAACTAAGTTAAACAGAATTTTATTTTCTTTTGTTTTCGAAATTTACAGTCACATTTTCTGCCACCGATTTTAAATTGACCCAAGGCCTATAAATAATTGTGCCGGGGGTTGTTTGTCCTCATCCAATTTATGTTTGTAAACTGCCTCCACAAAGAGGAGAAAATCCTAGTATGGATAAGGTTTTTTTTTAAAATAAAAGATAACTTTTTTTTAGTTTGTTTTTTTATGGTTGAGAAGTAATGGTAGGTTACGTCGCATACCCTTATAAATCACCACTCAATCTGCTACCACCGTTTGTTAACTAGATAATATTTTCACTGTAGTATGAGAAAAGCCACACAAAAGTAAAAAATGTAGATAGTAACAAAAGAAAGATTAACTAACCTTATCACATTCCTCATCAGGTACTGCAGATTTGACTAGCCTCTTTCCAAAATTATCAATGAATGATGATTTCTTAAAATGTTTAGTACACAACATTAAATGCCTAGAATGAAGATTGTTTTGAAATTCTGGTGACCACTAAGATTCATGAGGAAAACAGTACTTCGCCCATAATTCACATCTGAAAAAATACAATTAGATAGTAATATACTACTGAGGTGCTAAAAACGTGCTTGGAAGAAGAGTGCAATACAAGAAGATTGTTCCTTTCAAACAATGTGATTGTATTGTATACATATATAAATATTATTCCACAAGTTATTTCTATGTGTACCAATACATCTAGAACTTTTTATTATGTTATGATTTCTATGTGATAAACCTCATGCTGTTCTGCATAATTTCTCTAATTTTCAGATTTATTTGCACACGTTTTTAAATCGCTTAATATGTATCTTAGGTTTTATTAGCCGATGCGGCCCATAATAATTTTTATTTCTGCTACTTTATTAATTCAGTGGTTCAAATTTAAACATTTTAAAACTGTTTTAATCAGTAATCAAAAAGCTATTTAGCATACGTACCGTACGCTATTTGTTCTCCCAGGCTTAGGAAAACGATGCAAGGTGATGTTACGATCATGAGCAGGAGAACATCCACACTTGTAACATTTCCTTTCGTTTTCTTTCATGATGAAAGATAAAATTGAGTCTCTGTCTCTTTAGCACAATGCACAGCACTTGTTTTTGAGTCTCTTTCTCACTGTAAACACTAAAACGGAGGAACGGGATGTTCAAATCAACGTTAGTAATGTAAGAAATAAGTTTATATCGAAATATAAACTTAATTTGCAACACAAATAAACAAGAACGTAACAGCAAGCGCAACGGATCTGCCATTTGTAATTTTGTTTATTTGCCGTTGCCATAACTTGCCTTTTTATTATAGTATGCAGTTTCATATTTATACATTTTGTTACTTCAATAAAGACGTAATAAATATATGTTTAACGAAATATATTATATAATAAAGTATTATAATTATTAAATAAAAAAATGATTAAAATGATGTGTCATTTAAAATAATATTTCTTTCATGGCAATATAACATAACGTGCGAGGGAGATAGATATTATTCCATCTCGCTTCTTTAAAGCCCCCCAAGGTCATCTCCCGGTGCCAATCTGCTATTAGGAAGTTGACCGGCCCTGTGCGCTAGTGTCGCATTTATTGTATGCGCCATCTTGAATGTCAATGTCATTCAAATGTCAGTCAAATCCTAAACTCCATGTCAGTCCTGTATTGTGTGAGTTGAAGTCTGCCGGTATATTTTGTTTTCTCCTCGGTTTATACCTTGAGTCGAGATCTCAAAGTCCACCTGCTTCCTTACCCAATCAGTGATTGTGAGTGTGTCTAACGTAGAACGCTACACGATGTCGAAATTGCGGAAGTGTTGTGTTGTAGGTTGCAATGCCAATAACAAAACTCATCGCCTTTTTAACTTTCCAAAGGACGATAAATTACGGGAATTGTGGTTGTCTTTCTTGGTGCCTGTTAATATTGAGCTCAGCGGTTTGTCTAAGGAACAATTGTTAAATAGATATGTGTGCCAAAAGCATTTTGACAGACAGCAGTTTGACGGTATGGGTAACCGTCTTGCACATGGTTATCCGTGCTTATTTACTGCAAGTGAAATACTGCACGGCATTCCCTTGAACTCTTCGAGTAAGTTGATTTTAAATAATAGATAGGGTAAAACACCCAGTAGTCAGCCTTTTAGTGAGGACTAAAATTTGATTTAACTGTATTTTAAATATTAAACGTTATGAATAAAAACAATCATTATCCCCAGTAAGGTTGTTTATTAAATTTACTAAAGAAATTAACAAACCATTATATTCATAATAGAATTATATATAATAATAATGTCTGTAAAGGCTGAGTACTGGTGCGGGGCTGACTACCGGGTGTTTTACCCTATTTGTGTTACTAACTGATGTATCGATTACAATGTTTTTATTTGCTGTTAGTAGATAAGCGTACTAAACTTCATAACTTTTTATATTTCTAGCTGCTCATGCTTTGAGTGATCACAACTATGGTTTACAACTAGCTGTCTTAGAAGATTCAACTGATTTCACTAATAATACCGTAATCAACTGTGAGTTCGAATAACATTATATTTCCTAATTGTAGAAGTAATTTCCCACTGTTAAAACAGATTCTTAGCTTATTTAATCTTTTTTCAGCACAAGACCACATTAGTGATCATAATTATGTTTTAAAATGTAATGTTGAAAAGGAGCCGCCAATTGAAGAATCCACAAATTCTAAAACTAATGGTAGGTAACAATAATTATGTATTTCATTTTATATATTCATTAATACTTTTAAATAGTAATAAAACGTCATGATCAGTAATCCCGTTTATAACCACTAGACCAATGATGCAGTTAATGTCCCATAGTTCAAAACATGTTTTACAACACATTTTAGAAACCAAGTTGAGTTTTTCTATGTAACACACACAAAGGAGTCAATAGTTTTTGGGCCCACTAGAAATTTTCGCGACATTCAATGGTATTATTTACAAAAAAAAAACATAACATTAAAAATATCCTTGTTATGTTATTATCTAGTTATTTTGAAATGATAATGACTGACAATAATAACATTATAAAATACAATTAAATTAAAATGAAATATTACAATTAAATTATACATGTGTTTTTGTTATCCTTACACAACCAGTTTAAAACATCTTAGTTCATATTTATGTGTGTAATAATAACATAGATAAGCATGATATTACCTAGTCATTTTGGCTTTAATGGTATTTGGGGTATGATAACTAATCAGTTAGTGTATTTTAAAACAAAGTTTACACACTGCACCTTTACTGATTCAACCAAAACATATTAAAGTCTTGACACCGCACCTGTCTGTTCCACTATTAATAGACTGCTTTGGAAATAATTACAACAATAAATGCAGTGGCATTTTACTTTATGTTTTAGCCTTATACAACCAGTTTAAAACATCTTTCTTACTATATAGCATGTAAAGGTAATATTATAAATGGACATATTATCCATTATTCATCTTGTCCTTAATCATATTTATTTAAGTAATTAATTTAATGGTGTTTGAGATTTATATTCACTAATCAATTAATAACTGTAAAAAATAGTCCCAACACTACATTTGCTTGTCTGCGCACTACGTGAAGGAACTGTTAAAAGGATTTTGCATCAATCTTAAAGTACCTATAATTGCTGAATATACCTACAACTTTGTTTAATACTATTAATTATTAAGCTATTCTATTCTATATACACTATTCTAATTTATAATATCTGTGAAAACTACTAGAAAATCGCTTTTAGTTTGTTTTAAGGTTATTGTGATATTCATATTTCAATTATTAATTTCTCAGAATTCAATAAAACTAATATTAATTTTGTAATCTATATATTATAAGGAATAAATCGATATACATTTCATTAAGATTCACTGAAATTCGTGGTGGGCCCATTCTCCATACAAAAAGAAATTGTCTCCTTTGCAGAAGAGAGCTTATGTGATGACTTATATTTACCAATTTATTTTATTGTTTTTAGGACACACATGTACTACTGACACATTACAATTAACAGAACCTGCAGAAATTGTGTCAAACTTCTCTATATCATCATCAAATGCAGAACCAAGAGGTATTTTTATATGTTTTATATCCTTTTTTAAATATATTTTTATAATCTCCTCAAGACCTAATTTTAGTTATGGTGGCCAGTCTCAGTAGCCATATGTGCATGGTACAGGATTATAATGTATGAATGTGTGCACAAACACAGATGTTCTATTCCTTCACTCTCATAGTCCGATCACAATCAGAGAGAGAGGTCAGGCACAACACAAATGGCTTTACGTCCTTGCAGAAGCGGGTTAAACTTAGCCACCTTTCTGATTCCGGGTTGTTAATTTCTTGACAGAAACACCAAACAATCCAATGAAATCAAGCATCTCATAATCAACGTTTGCAAATAATTTAAAGACATTAGGCAAAAAAATTGACAATACTTTATGACATTTATTTTTCTACTAATTTCAGATGGGATTGGCAATATTGAGAAAAATCGAAAAATAAATGCACCAAAAAAAATTCAATGTGGAGGTATAGTATTTTTTAACACATACCTCATAAGATAATTTTTGTTAGTAGTTCTGCCAATAGTGACATTTATGACAAATCACCCTCACATTGAGAGAGGTGCATGTTTTTCAGTAGACTTTTACAGGCTGATGATGACGAAGAAGAATAGTTCTAGTTATTTTTAGACAACTTTTGTTCATAAAGTAATGCAAACTTTAGATCCGCTCCTGCAAGTTATGAACTAAATTGTATAATTTTATATTCTTTTACAGCCAATAAACTGATCAGAGACTGCAGATGCTTCATAAGAAGAATAAAAAATATTGCTGTCAAGGAAAATAAGCTTGAAAAGCCATTTTCAGAAAGATTTCATGCTGCTAAGAATCTAAATCATAACCTATTATTTAACAAAAGTTTTAGCAAAATGACACAACAAGCACAAGATTTTCTTCTAATGCAATTGAAAATGGCAAATAAAAAAAAGAAAGCAATGAGGTACACCACCAATGAAAAACTCTTGTCATTGTCTTTAATGAAGGAAAGCCCCAAAGGATACAGACTTTTACAAAAAATTTTTAATTTACCTACTAAAAGAACATTAAACCGCCTGTCTGAAAACATCAAATTCAATGTGGGTTTAAATGATAATATTTTTAAGCTGTTAAAGCACAAAGTTAGAAAATGGGATACAAAGAAGAAATTATGCTCTGTTTTGTTTGATGAGGTGGCTCTCACACCTCATCTCACTTATGACGAGTCTCAAGATGAAATCATAGGCTTTAAAGACTTTGGAAATGAAAGAGAATTTAAATTTTGCGATCATGCTTTAGTGTTTATGCTGAAAGGTGTGTGTTCAAGCTGGCGACAGCCTATTGCCTACTATTTTTGTGAGGGAACAACAGCTGCTGCTGTAATTGTACGGATATTGAAAGAAGTTATAAGTAAAGTCTCGCAGTCGGACTTGATACCGTTAGCCCTTGTATGTGACCAAGGACCTACATTTAGAACGGCTATAGCCATGTTAAAAAAGGACACCGAACGTAAAAGAAATTTAAATGGAGAATATAATGGTAAGTAAATGAACTCTATATTTTATTTCTTGGGGCAGCCTTACATGGACAAATCTAATGAGTCGAGTCGAGCTAGGTCAAACAGTTGCAAGATATTGGACTTGGTCTCTAAATTATTAAGCTGTCTGTGTGTCCATCTTTACAAACTTTGTTAATATCATTGTTTAGATTACAACAATCAAAATACAAACTTTTGTTTACAGATGGAACTGTTGAGATATCAAGTCAAAAGTTAAATGTTGTGTATGATCCACCACATTTACTCAAAAGCCTTCGAAACAACCTACTCACCAAAGATATATTATTTAAAGGAAAAGTTGCCACTTGGAACGACATATTAACCTTTTACAATGCTGATTGCCAATTAGGTCATACAAGAATGAATAAAAAGTTAACAGATCACCACATTTATGCTGAACAAATTAAAAAAATGAAGGTTAGCGTAGCTGCCCAAGCTCTGAGTGAAACAACCAGTGCAATGCTTAAATACACTGCATTATTTAGTAAGTTTTTAAAAACTTTATTATCAATATACACTATCTTAACCCTTTCACTGTCCCGTGCACTACATATAGGGCACTGCTATTGTCTTACTATTGTGTCTGGAAACCGGACAGTGAAAGTGTTAATAATACTAATCATGCATCTCTTTAATATATCTATGTTATATTTCAGAAACAACTATGATGGGCGAAAATGTCAGCACGACAATGGCCACTACCGGGGAAGCTGTAGATTTCATGGATAAGCTTTTTGATAGTGTAAATGGGTCTTGGGGGAGTACTGTGAGCAAGCATTTTCATTTTTGGCAAGAAGCCAAAGATATATTGAAAAATATTAGATTTATTGAAGAAAAAAGCAAAAGAGCGCGAAAATATAATAAAATCTATAAGGTCAGAGTTCCTTCTCTTGATGGATGGATTATGTCTATAGAAAGTTTTGAAAGAATGTCAAAATTGTTATTCGAAAAATATGGAATACTTTATTTTTATCCCAGAAATGTTAATCAGGATTCTTTAGAGAATTTTTTTGGACGAATTAGAGCAATCAATTACAGGAACATTAATCCTGATGCAAATACTTTTAAAAATTCCTTTAAATCCTTATTAATGTCCAATGTTATGGGTCCACATTCAATTTACGCAAATTGTGAGGATGATGGTGGAGACACAGTAGTAGATTTTATTAAACTAATATCAAAGCTTTTACAAAAATTTTTTACTTCGCAAATATCCGCGTTATAAAATAAAATGATGTGTCTTACCTAGTATGAAGAAGCACCTCCCGCCCTCCCTCAATTGCGTGCACTAACCCCGTCACCACTAATCCCAGCACCGCTACTCCCAACACCACTACACTAGGCAAGACACACCACTGACGATAATACGACACGTGTTTCGCCTCTACACGAGGCATCCTCAGGTGATATAGACTCTACGGTGGCTAACCGCTAAGTGAGCGGCGAGCCAAAACAACTGCCTTTTATACAAACCGATGACGCAACCGCTCTCTACCTAAGAAGCGAGCGACTGCGTCATGCGATAAAACATGCGACCAATCACCGCTGGACTTACGCAGCCGTTTGTAAAATTAAAAACAAACCGCCGCGCAACGCCCACATTATTAGAGAGCAGGCTTGAAGATATTTAAGAGAGGTGAGTTAGTAACATTTGTTTGTTCATTCAGCAATGCAACGGTATTATTATTACTTTTTAATATCTCTAACTGTTCCAGCACACACAGCCGCAGCCCTTTATTACACGTATGTAAGACTTTAAAGGAGTGGTCGTTGGCTAGGTTGTGTCCAGTGTCCAAAAGATGTTTGGCAAAATGGGATTTATCGGGATTGCAATTCCTGTACGCGGCTAAATGCTCTTTATAACGTGTCTCGAAATTGCGACCAGTTTGACCCACGTAAACGGCGTGGCATTCGTCACAAACAAGTTTGTAAACACCTGACTTTTGACGAATATCCAACTTATCTTTACTATTACAGATATTTCTAAGAGAATTGTTTGTTTTAAACGCCACATAAACGCCGTTTTGTCGAAGAGTATTAGCTACTTTTTCAGATATGGGGCCTAAGTAGGTCAAACTGCTCACATATCGATGAACACTTTGAGGTTGAACCGCGTACAGAGAGTTGCGAATAACATGCTTTTGTTTCTTTTTAATTAAATTGTTAATGAGATTTTTTGAAAAACCGTTAGAGACCGCTATTTGATAAATTATATTAAGTTCTTTTAAATAATTTTCTTTACTTAATGGGACAGTGAACAACCGGTTAATGTAACAATAAAAAGCGGCTACTTTATGTTGCCATGGATGACATGATGACGCGGGGATGACTGTGTCGGTGTGAGTTGGTTTTCGATAAATTTGGAAAACATGTGACGATTCTTTTCTTGTTATTGTTAAGTCAAGAAAATTAAGGGAACAATCTTGTTCCAATTCAAGTTTAAATTTAATTTTGTCATGGACTCTATTTATTTTATTGAGGAAAACATCCAGTTGTCTCCTTGTGCCAGTCCAGCAAATAATTATGTCGTCTACATATCGATAGTAATATAAGATATTTTGATTGACAACTATATGTTGTTTTTCGAAATTATCCATGAAAATGTCCGCCATAAGGGGACTTAGAGGGGACCCCATAGCTAACCCTTCTTTTTGTAGATAGAAACGGTTATTAAACCGGAAATAGTTTTGTTTCATACAGAGAGAGGTTAAGTTAAGAAGATCATTTGTTTCCCCGGGATGTAGACGACGTTTTTCAAAGAGATCTGCGAGTATACGCAAACAATCAGGGGATGGGACATTTGTGAAAAGACTATCAACGTCTAAAGATAACAATATGGATTTAGGAGGAATACGAATATCTTTAATTTTGGAAATGAGATCTAAGCCATTTTTTAGGCTGTAAGTGGGGTTGAATCCAGATTTCTCTCGAAGGAGGAAGTTTAATTTTTTAGCAAGGAAATAAGCTGGTGCACCAATATATGAGACAACTGGACGAATAGGAACATTTTCTTTATGTATTTTTGGTAACCCATATAAAATGGGTGCTTGAGGATTCATTGGAACAAGATTGCTCCGAGACAAGTTGTGATCGGGAAAAACATATGATGACTGTTGTATACATAACTTAATATCCGAAGTAAACTTTTTGGTTGGGTCAGACTCCAATAGCTCAAAGTCATCACCTTGGATAACATCGTTAACTTTCTGGCTGTACCCACTACTCTCCATAACTATCCATAATTACAACGACTTGTATCCTCTTCATCCCGTAATCGTAATAACGACATACATACAGAATATCACCAATTTTATCCCCGAGTTAAAAATCTTTCCGATGTCCAGTTTCCAACAGATGAGTTGACTCTTTTACATAAAGGCCTAAAGTATAATTTAACACCTTCGGTCTCCCAAAAATCGTTAGAGACTATGGCTGTTGACGCGGAGGTGGCTGTTGTGATCGGGAGGAAAGATAACATCGTTAAAAGTTTGGTAGCTAATGAAATTCGGGCTGTGCCCGCGTCTTCCCATTTCAATCCTGAGTTCCCTGTTTTTAAGTCCCTAAAGCAGAGAATAAGGGAAAACGACCTTATTGTTACTAAAGCCGATAAAGGCAATACTGTTGTTATTATGGAGAGTAGTGGGTACAGCCAGAAAGTTAACGATGTTATCCAAGGTGATGACTTTGAGCTATTGGAGTCTGACCCAACCAAAAAGTTTACTTCGGATATTAAGTTATGTATACAACAGTCATCATATGTTTTTCCCGATCACAACTTGTCTCGGAGCAATCTTGTTCCAATGAATCCTCAAGCACCCATTTTATATGGGTTACCAAAAATACATAAAGAAAATGTTCCTATTCGTCCAGTTGTCTCATATATTGGTGCACCAGCTTATTTCCTTGCTAAAAAATTAAACTTCCTCCTTCGAGAGAAATCTGGATTCAACCCCACTTACAGCCTAAAAAATGGCTTAGATCTCATTTCCAAAATTAAAGATATTCGTATTCCTCCTAAATCCATATTGTTATCTTTAGACGTTGATAGTCTTTTCACAAATGTCCCATCCCCTGATTGTTTGCGTATACTCGCAGATCTCTTTGAAAAACGTCGTCTACATCCCGGGGAAACAAATGATCTTCTTAACTTAACCTCTCTCTGTATGAAACAAAACTATTTCCGGTTTAATAACCGTTTCTATCTACAAAAAGAAGGGTTAGCTATGGGGTCCCCTCTAAGTCCCCTTATGGCGGACATTTTCATGGATAATTTCGAAAAACAACATATAGTTGTCAATCAAAATATCTTATATTACTATCGATATGTAGACGACATAATTATTTGCTGGACTGGCACAAGGAGACAACTGGATGTTTTCCTCAATAAAATAAATAGAGTCCATGACAAAATTAAATTTAAACTTGAATTGGAACAAGATTGTTCCCTTAATTTTCTTGACTTAACAATAACAAGAAAAGAATCGTCACATGTTTTCCAAATTTATCGAAAACCAACTCACACCGACACAGTCATCCCCGCGTCATCATGTCATCCATGGCAACATAAAGTAGCCGCTTTTTATTGTTACATTAACCGGTTGTTCACTGTCCCATTAAGTAAAGAAAATTATTTAAAAGAACTTAATATAATTTATCAAATAGCGGTCTCTAACGGTTTTTCAAAAAATCTCATTAACAATTTAATTAAAAAGAAACAAAAGCATGTTATTCGCAACTCTCTGTACGCGGTTCAACCTCAAAGTGTTCATCGATATGTGAGCAGTTTGACCTACTTAGGCCCCATATCTGAAAAAGTAGCTAATACTCTTCGACAAAACGGCGTTTATGTGGCGTTTAAAACAAACAATTCTCTTAGAAATATCTGTAATAGTAAAGATAAGTTGGATATTCGTCAAAAGTCAGGTGTTTACAAACTTGTTTGTGACGAATGCCACGCCGTTTACGTGGGTCAAACTGGTCGCAATTTCGAGACACGTTATAAAGAGCATTTAGCCGCGTACAGGAATTGCAATCCCGATAAATCCCATTTTGCCAAACATCTTTTGGACACTGGACACAACCTAGCCAACGACCACTCCTTTAAAGTCTTACATACGTGTAATAAAGGGCTGCGGCTGTGTGTGCTGGAACAGTTAGAGATATTAAAAAGTAATAATAATACCGTTGCATTGCTGAATGAACAAACAAATGTTACTAACTCACCTCTCTTAAATATCTTCAAGCCTGCTCTCTAATAATGTGGGCGTTGCGCGGCGGTTTGTTTTTAATTTTACAAACGGCTGCGTAAGTCCAGCGGTGATTGGTCGCATGTTTTATCGCATGACGCAGTCGCTCGCTTCTTAGGTAGAGAGCGGTTGCGTCATCGGTTTGTATAAAAGGCAGTTGTTTTGGCTCGCCGCTCACTTAGCGGTTAGCCACCGTAGAGTCTATATCACCTGAGGATGCCTCGTGTAGAGGCGAAACACGTGTCGTATTATCGTCAGTGGTGTGTCTTGCCTAGTGTAGTGGTGTTGGGAGTAGCGGTGCTGGGATTAGTGGTGACGGGGTTAGTGCACGCAATTGAGGGAGGGCGGGAGGTGCTTCTTCATACTAGGTAAGACACATCATTTTATTTTATAACGCGGATATTTGCGAAGTAAATTTTTGTAAAAGCTTTTATATAATGGATTTCCGCAAAGTAACGCCTGATTCTATTAATTATAAACTAATATCAAATTACAATCAACATGAGACAGTAACTGATGACAATAAAGAAAATGTTCCACCCATAACATTGGTCCAAAAAAATTATAACAAGTGTAACCAATCCATAAATCCAGCAAATGAAAGATTACGCGTGCATTCTTCTGCATATACAGCAGGATACATATGCAGAAGAGTGACAAAAAAAATTGACTGTAAGAAATGCTCTGAAACATACATTGAAAAAGAAAAACAAGTATTCCATAAATGGATCGAGCAACGCGATTACAATCTTTTAAAAAATAGTAATTTAAAATATCCATCAAAAAAGTTTCTGTTTTTGTATAGGGATATCTCTGGCCTTATACATGATTATTTGAATAACAACGCCTACAAAAGATGTTTGAAAAAGCTTTTAAAGAGATTAATAATTCAAACATATGATTTTAGTTGGTTAGGGTGTGAAAATCACAAAGAAATTATAACAAAAACTTTTTTAAATTTGATTTTACGAATTCATATCCACAATTGGTGCAATATTTTGAATAAAATTTTGAGAGGGGGTGTGCAAGAAAAACTTGTAAAACAAATGTGTGCACCCCAACAAATGGCTTTTAATAAATTCAAAGCCCAAAGGTTGAAAAGAAATAAAAAATTATAAAATTCGATATGTTGTTTTATTCTAATCTAAGACTGAATACATACAACAGATATGTATTCGCTGAACTTTGCAAATAAGTATATTAACCCTTAAATTCGCTTTGTTGCATATCTGCAACATACCAAAAATTGATCTAATGTACAAACTGTAGTGACGTGTATCCGAATTTCATCCACACAGATAATAGAGAATTTTGTTTTCTTTTTGACAACTGACAAGGCGGTTCAATTTTGAATTTCGAAACCATAAACTTTCTATGTGTATGTTCGCGAACGCGCGAAAAAGTGGATTAGTGAATTGTTCGAAGATTTTTTTCATTTAAATGAAACTAATTTTACGGATTTTATCGCGTATATTAACTTATTTTACATTCCCGACGTTTCAAGCACTTTACAGCACCCATGGTCACGGGGGGGACTGAGGTGTATGACGTCCCAATGTCATAGTTAACCACGGCTACCTCCAGATTAAAAATTATTAATTTTTGTTCCGATCTACGCAGTATGAACTTACAGTATCATGAAGTCTTGCAATTGTATGCTTGGGTTGGGATTTAATTTTATTAATTATTATAAGATTTTTTTCAGTTTGCCTGTATTTTTGTAAGGTGAGTGGTGTTTGTTTTTATGTTTTCAGACATATTATAATACTATGAAAACGGAACAAAATTAGTTTCGCTGTAAATACAGGGTTTTGATATACTTTTTTATCAAAATCTGTTTGTTGCATAACTGCAACATCGCGCATTTATAGACATAAATAGTTTCATTTTCGTATGTTTCATACGGCATTTTTTCTACATTTTCGTACGTATTTTTTTCTAGAATGCCGAGGACGCTGGATTCGAAAACCATTGAGGAATACCTCCAAGTACTGGACCAGTCTGAGGATGACATGGATTCTTCAGGAGGGGAGGAGGCAGATGAAGAAATTTATTATGAGAATAATCGACAGTTATTGGCAGATTTGATAAATGAAGTGGATGCTGAGGACGTAGATTTTTCTGTGGAAGATACTAGTGATAATCCGCCACTTATTATTGATAATGCTGATGAGTCATCATTGGAAAACGAGAGCGAGGAGCCACAGAATCACCAAACTGTTGCCTCTCGTCAACGGTACGGCCGCGTGACTTGGAGACGCACAAATCTCACCACTATTCAAAACATTCAAAATTTTCCTCAAAGTATACAGTACCCAAATAAAATCTTAGAATTATCGACGCCATACCAATTTTTCTCATATTTCTTCACCCAAGAACTGAGAGATAAAATCCAGACAGAAAGTAATTTGTACGCTACCCAGAAAAATCTATCTAATCCATTTGTTATCTCTAGAAATGATCTGAATAAGTTCCTAGGAATTCTTATTTATTCTTCTATTGTAAAAAACCCTAACTTTCGGTTGTACTGGTCAGATCAATATGGTTATGAACCCATAAAATCCACAATGACTCAAAAACATTTTGAGAAAATTTGTTCTGTTTTACATTTCAATGACAATACAACTCATTTACCTCAGGACCACCCCAATCATGATCGGTTGCACAAGATTCGGCCCGTAATTGATGAGTTAAATACCAGATATGCTACAGTACCTTTGGAGCAACGATTATCGTTAGACGAACAAATGTGTGCTACCAAAATGGGTCACTATATGAAACAGTACCTTCCGAACAAGCCACATAAATGGGGGTTCAAGCTGTTCTTGATCTGCAGCATATATGGATTTGTGCACAAATTTGAGGTGTATTCTGGCAGTGAGAAACATCTCCATATAAACGGCGAACCAGATTTGGGGCCTACTGGCAACACCGTTGTACGGCTAGCACGGATTGTTCCAAGACGTGCTAATCATATAATTTATTTTGATAATTTCTACACATCTATCCCCTTGGTTACGTACCTTGCAAAAGAAGGAATCTACTGCTTAGGAACCATCCAATCAAATCGAATCCCAAATAACAAACTGCCAGATAAGAAAACTTTGATGAAGAAAACAGTACCAAGAGGACACTATGAGGAGCAGGTTGCCAATGTTGATGGTGTCGATATCAGTGCTGTAATCTGGAAGGATAATAGACCAGTTACTTTGCTTTCAACGTATACCGGGTCCTTGCCAATAACCACTATTTCTAGATATGATAAAGTGACGAAACAAAGAGTACAAATAAATTGTCCACAAGTAATAAAAGATTATAATTCTCATATGGGAGGCGTAGATCTGCTTGATAGTTTTATTGGAAGGTATCATATTACACGCAAAAGCAGAAAATGGACAAACCGCCTGTTTTTCCATCTTCTAGACATGACCATTATAAACTCCTGGCTATTATATAAAAGAACTCTCAAACAGGTCAACTCAACCACAAAGCCTATGAACCTGTGTAATTACAGGCTTGAGTTGGCAAATGCCTTATGTAATCTCAGTCCACAGGCCAATGGTAATAAAAGGGGCCGGCCAAGCTCTTCTTCTTTAGAAGCAGATTTTCAGCTGAAAAAAAAGCGTGGGCCTGCACAAAGTATGCCTCCTAAAGATGTCCGCCAAGATAAAACGGGCCACTGGCAGAAATGGGGTGATCGATCAAGGTGCAAATATCCTCACTGCAAGGGTTATACATACACATATTGTGAAAAATGTAGAGTAAGTTTATGCTATAATAGAGATAATAACTGTTTTTATAAATTTCACCACGATTAAATAAACTACATATTATAAAATTTTATTGACATAGTGATTTTAATTTTCACCCATCCATCCAATCCCCATACATAGTATAGTTCGATAAGTGCGCACAGTTGCAGATATGCAACATACGCTTTTTTTCATTTTCAGTGGCTATAATTCAATACTATTTTTTTTAACTATTTTTCCTGTTCTTTTTAGACCCCTATAGAGGTAAAAAAATATATTTTAGAATAATAAAAAAAATAGCGCATTTAAGGGTTAATATAAGAAAACAATCCTTGCATATCGACTTTTTACCTGTGCATCACTAAACTATCGATATCGACACATGAATATTAGAACTAGTTTTCATCACTATACGACACTAGCGCTTTGTGAATTCATTGGAACTTACCGTCAACTAGAGAACTGTCCTATCTGTCTCTGACTAGTATACAGTTATCTGTGCATTAATGTGCGTGACTTCGGTAATAACAGTGCGAATCGATTACCCAAAAAATGTGGGAGATTTTATATTTCATTCCTATTGACGTACCTATTGATTCTAAGAGTATAAAATGTGTGTGCGTGGCGTGTGCAATTGTGTGTGTGTGTGTATGGGGATATGGTTGCTTATGTGTGTTTTATGTAGGTACGAACATCGCACTAAAATATTGAAGATATGTAATAAAACCTATAATTAATGTAACAGTTAAAATAAATAAAAAAGCACAGTAGATATTTATGTATGTAACATATATTTATAATCTATTATTACTAAATATATTCAGAGTACTACACTTTTGTACTGTAGAACACAAAATATTGCCGCTTTTTACGAAGACATTAAATTATTTTTCAATCCTAAGTAAAATGACGAAAAAAAGGAAGTTTGGTTAAGCGTGAACTTCAACCAAGAGATAGCAAAATGTTTAATTTTTTTAAATTACTCCGTTCCGTTGCTGCGTGAAGGAAGGACAAAAACAAATAAACAAAAAAATTACACTTTCACATTTATAATATTATATTAGTATGAATTGTCAAGAATAATAGATAAACTTTTACAGCCGGTTTACAATCGGCTTTTTGAGGGTGGAACTATACCGGTTACTACTTTAACGGTTCTGAGTGACCAAAAAGGATAGAAGCACAGGAAAGTGCAATTTCATGCTGCCAGATATAGTTCAACCCTAATCCTTAAAACGGTTTAACTCTATAGATTCGGTAAAATCTGTAAAATTAGACTGTTTAAAACCCCTATACAGATAACCTTTGTGGTTGATCATGACATTAAAAAATGGTAAAAACATTTCATAGACTAGGCAACACTCGAATATTATTGCGCAGTATTATTACTTGTATTAACATTTAGCTTTCGTATTCTTTTACAAAGAAATACACCATAAAATTGTATAGTTACTTATGAAAAGTGATGTTCTTATCCTTATCCTTTTTCCAAGAGTAATTTTTAAATGATTTAAAAACACCGGTGCGTGACGTATGTTCACAGCGAACGTCGCTGGCGTAATGGCGGAACGATCGAACGAATACGCCAATATTGGCGCCTTTAAAATGGAAGCGTTTTAGGCGCGCGTACACGGTATCTGTACCTATAAAACATCTTTGGTTTAGACACAAACTATATAGTGGTAACTACCGCAAGCCGCGTTCTACTAAGGAATACAGCGGCATCTAGCGTACACGGTACACCCATTCGAAAACTGAAATGTGAGTGGCGCATCTATCCCTGGTATATAGTGTATTATCTATGAAACACTACGCGTGTTTAGAAAACGTACCTAGACTTCCTGGTATATAGTGTATTATCTATGCCTTGACCCCTTGGAAGAGTGGCAACGTTGCACGCGGGTGGCGGTTGGCGGCCGGCAGCGTTATTGTGGGCACGGTAGGAGTAATACTAATAGTGTTCTGTGGGACACGGCCTTTGATTTGTTTGACAATGTGCGACGAAATAAAAACTTACTCACTAAACTGTTTAGGTATTTTTACCGCCACTTTTTTATTTCGCGATAGTGGAACTGAACGAAAGAAATTTTTTTGCATATTAGTTGCAAAATTTAATTGAACCCTAAATTGAAAAAATTTCCATAATGTCCGCCACGTTCTTGAATGCACAAGTTACATCGCCGCATAATGTTGTCAAAAACTACTAAAAAATAAACGTATTTTAAAACACTATTTACACACACAAAGTCAATTAACCAATAAGTGTCCATTTAACCGTAAAAACATTGTTTGAATAATTGTATTTATTTTACGAAAAATAAATCACTTGAAGCAAAGCGCGTAAGCAGCGAAACGCACCCGTATCCTGGAATATTGGCGGTGAACTGAAAGCGAAACTTCCAAATTCCAAAATGGCAAAAATAATAAAAAAGACAGTCACAAGGTGCAATTATCGTTTATCGACACTTCTTTTTACACTTACTTACCTACTACAAGACATTTGAATACAAGTAATTTTGATTTTGATTTGATAACAATTGACAAGTTATTGATTGTTAGAAAAAAAAAGTTTATTTTTGTACAATTGAACTTACGAAACTACCGTTTTGTGACTTCCTAGGAAACGGGTAATTAAGATAAGACGCACATTACACGGTAGGTTTTGTTATCAGTTTTACAACAATCACGGTTGTGATTGACGAATAACTTACCGTGTAATGCGGTGATTGACGGTTGCATGAAATTGATTGACAAATATCTGGACATTTTGATTTTTATGTCAATCACGCGTCAGTCAACGCTTAGACAGCAATGGAGGCGGACGCAGAATATATTGAAGAGGCGGCTTCCACGGGCTCGCGCAGCCCGTCGCCAGTTCCGCCAAACGTGCTTCAGCCAGAAAAAGATTTTATTTTAAATTTTGAGGCTCTCCCCGACTTGTGGGACACGAAAAACCCCGGATAGGGTGGATGCCCCTAATACCAGCCACGCCCCTAATTCTAGCTTTTCCGCCTTTTTACTTCGTAAATAAGATTTCTACTAGTCTTAACTACAAATATTGTCGGCTAAAAAATTCTTCGTAACTAGAGGAAAGTATATTTCAAATATTACCTCACAGTTTTAAACCTAACAATGTTAAATTAAAAATCAAAACACGTACGCAACGAAAAACGCTAATTTCCCTAATTTTTTGACAAGTTATGGTCCCGGTACAATTAAGCATATTTTACATTAGCTCTTCTTTAGGCTTTTTGATTTGTATGAATGTGACTATAGACATAGTAATGCAGCTATTTTTGCTTAAATCTATAAGTTTTTTATTTTATTTTACTGGAAATTAATGGGGCTGTAATTAGATATACGAAATGTATGGAGTGCTTAATGTCAGTCGCCCGGCTGTTATTTGGTTTGACGTACATAATAAGAAGTACCTAATTTCAGCCACATAATATAAATCAGGGCTGTCATAAACTGGAATAAGTACCATTAATTAGAACATAACTTATTTTATAGTTAAGGAAGTTATGATCAATTCGTGTATATTTTAAAATTGGTTTTTGATTTAAAAGTTTAACAAATGATAGGTACTTGCTTTTCAGACATTTGATATATGTTAAGAACACCATACAATATTTAGTTATTTTTGTAAAAGACAAAAACAAAGAATAAATGTAATTAACTACAACTTAGTAATATTAATTTACTATAACTTAAGAACATAAATGAAAAAGTCATAACAAGGAAAGTGGTTCAGACCATGCTTTGCGGCAGTCTATGGAGGATGTTTGTTCTGTAGTAGACTTGTGAAGGGCTGAAATGATGATGACGATTCAAAAACTTGGATGATTAAATTATAAAGGTTTTGACACGTAGAATGCAAGAGAAATCGGAAAGATTTCTATGGGAGGCACAATGCGGATTTAGACCTGGAAGAGGATGCAGGGATCAAATGTTTTCTCTCCGTATGATCACGGAAAAGCTTCTGGCTGTTAACCAGAAGATTTTCTGTGCTTTTGTGGATCTTGAGAAAGCATTTGATAAGGTTGTAAGGAAGAAAATGTGGGAACTGTTGCCGGGGTATGGTGTGGATGGCCGATTGCTAAGGGCTGTGCAGTCTCTTTACTGTGACTGTAAAGCCTGTGTGCGGGTAGGGCATGACCTGTCACCCATGTTTAGCGTCCAAACGGGCGTAAAACAGGGTTGTGTCATGTCTTCCTGGCTGTTCATACTGTATCTCGACAGCTGTTTACAAAAGCTGAAAGATAGCTGTTTGGGTGTGAAATTGGGTGACATAAAAGTAAACTGTCTGCTGTATGCTGATGATGCAGTGCTTATTGCACCATCAGAGGTAGAACTGCAGGCATTAGTCACGTGTATGAAAGAGGAATGTGAAATTAAAGGTCTCCGTTTGAATGCTAATAAAACTAAGGTTCTGGTATTTGAAAGGGACGAAGAGAGAACGAAGTGTGAAATATGGGTAAATCAGGAATGTCTAGAACAGGTAAATGAAATTGTATACTTGGGGAGTGCTTTTAGCCGGGATGGAAGATGTGATTTAGATGTGGACAGGCGTGTCGCTGCCGGGAACAAAGTCAATGGTGCCCTGACTGCGTTAGTCAAAAGGCAAGGCGTAGCGAAGAGTGCACGCCTTGCAATACATAACGCAGTGTTGGTACCGACTTTGTTATATGGCAGCGAAACCTGGGTATGCCAGAAGAAGCATAAAAGTAAGTTGAATGCAGTGGAGATGCGATCTCTTCGTAAAATGTGCGGCGTTACTATGGCCGACCGAAAGCGAAACGAAGAGATTCGCAATATGGCAGGTTTGAAAGATGACCTTATCACAAAAATTGATAAGGGCGTGCTTCGGTGGTTTGGGCACGTTGAGCGAATGAGTGAAGACCGAATGGTGAAGAAAATATATAGCGCGAAAGTTAATATTAAAAGGTGTCGAGGTAGACCGAGACTAACTTTCGAAGACCATGTGAGCAAATTGCTCGAAGAGGGTAGGGTCAAGAGTACTCGGATACCTAGACGTGCATGTATGAAGAAGATAATGAATCTGA